CCATGATATTTTTTTTTCTTGCTCGTGAAGTTGAGTTAAACAAGAAACCTCTTAATATGCTTTGAAAGAGAACATGTCATTTTGCTGCAATTAGTTGTGTTTGCACTGTCTTTATTACCAATATGAATATCCAGGTTTGATGCAATGCAGTCATTTCATTGTTCTTTGCCAGACTTTTGATTTATTGCCAAAGTATTAGAGAGGCATGAATTTGTTGGGTTTTGTTTGTGGTTGTTGAGCTTATAATAAGCTAATAAGAGCTGTGTCAGCTGCGAGATATTTAGAAGAATACTTGTGAAGAGCTTGACATCTCAGAAACTTTCATTTGAGTGGTGATTGTTATTTGCCAATAAAGTCACTTTTTTTCCCCCCCCCCCCTGAAACTTACCTTCAGTGCAGGAATGCTCACTTTCTTCTGTTTGAGCTTTCTTGTATTTGCACTCTAATTCCTCTTTCCATTTGAAAAATCTATCTCAGTGGCTGCTTTCAAATTGTAGTGTTTTGAAAAGATTAGATTGTACCTATAAGATATAGCTCAGTGCTTTAGTGCAATATAATTGGGGAAATACTAAACGACACTGACCTCATTTCCTTTAGAACAATGAAAATTAATAGTTTCACGTTTTATTAGGCTGATATTCCAGATGTAGTGTACATTTAATTAAGTGTAGTTTCCTTTTGGTTATGGTATGTGTATCTGCTTTTTGTCGCAAATTCTTTCTAGTTTTACAGTTTTCCACATGTTTTCTTTCACCATTTATGATTTTTTCAAAGCAGAGCTATAAGGATTTAAATCACTTTAGCATGCAGCAAAACAGTTCCCATTCAAACAATAAACGCCATTTTAAAAAGCCTTTAGATCTTCTGTCACTTCATAAATATAAATGTATAAAAACATTATGCAGTTGTAGTGCCCACCTGCTAATTAAATGCAGATTTCCTCAAACTTGTTTTAAAATCTGCTTATTTGTTTCAACTCTGTCTCTGTTCAGAATACATATGGCCCTTGTGAAACTAATTATGCTTATGGAGCAGCTGTTAAATTTAGTGCAACTAATTTTATCCAATATTTTACATTTTAATTGATTACCTGTGAAGAAATTAGCAAATTAACACTTATTGTGCAGTAACTGAATGGGCTTTTATGGATACTTTCAATTTTTACAAGTGGACTAAGTGTTGATGGAATAAAGACATTTCTTAGGATTTTAGATAGGAAAGTTATTGGTGAGCCTTGATTATCTGGTGTGAGAATTTAGGGATACTGAGTGATGCCAAGCATCTGTGTGTTCTGTAAGTTAGACATGAAAAGCAGATTGGAAAGTAATAGCTTTTCACAGAATTTTGGTAACATATGGGCTTATCTGGATCTAAGAACTCTTTGAAGATCTTTGAACTTGACTAAATGACTTAACCTTTGGCATGGTGGGTGGGTGTTTGTGCGCGCTGCTTTGGGGGAAGGGGGGTGCGTGCTGGCAGTCTACTCTCCAGCCTGATTTTTTTCCTCCAATACTTCTGTAATTGGAACACTTTGCAACTTGCTTTAATATTAATAATTGGGATTGAAAAACAAATGCAACAGCAATAAAATAGAAGATCTTTATTCTTTGCCTGATCCGTGGACTTTTATACTTGTTTACTTGTGACTTCTTGGCACATCTGACTTGTAGCTCCATTCCGTAAAGTTGCTTCTTTCCTTTTCTGTACATATCACAGGGTATTTTAATATTGATCCATGGTAGCATACAGGTAAATTCATCCATTCTGGAGATGGAACAACACTGCAGCTTGTTAGGCACAGAGTAGCGACTTCATATACTTGAATTTTCACTTTATGAAATGGTTTTCCACTGCCAAAAGCCTGTTGAGGTTTTTGGACTTAATATAGGGCCTTAAAGAAGCTTGTACGAAGTATTCGTAAAACAATATTTTAGGATTTGGGGCCTTTATGCCAAGAGAAAAGCTTTATTAAAATGGCAACATAGCAGGGAATGGGGCTGTGGGGGTAGGTCCTTGCCAGGAGGCTGCAGCCCGCTCCTCTGCATCCCCTCTGCCCCTGCGCCTTGAGGGCTGGCGGTGTCACATACCGAGGGCAGTTTTGGTGATATTTTTCTTGTTGGTCTTGATCTTGTTTTCCTACTGAAGTTTACTTAATTCAAGTAGATGTCCTAGTGAAAGACCAGTGGCCTTACCTGAGCTTGTCACAGCACGATCTCAATTCTGAGGCTTCAGATTCTGCGGTTACCTCAGAGAAGTGGATTCTTGAGGACAAACATTACCTTTTTCTTTACAAGAAAGAAAGAAAGGGGAGAAAAAAACATACAAATGAAGTAGAGAAAGTTACATGGGTTGCAAAGTGAAAGGCTTGAAGCTGCAACGCTCCAGACTTGCTTTTAAGGATGGTCCTAACTCTGTCCTGATGTCGGCATGACGGTGCCTGTTAATGCAGTCAAGCTACACAGGGAATCGTGGCTTCTGCACTGAGTAATCCTCTTGTCACCTGGTTCATCGAAACTGGTGTTGCAGAATTAGACATGGAGCATATTAACAGGTGGATTTAATTAGCCCAGACTGCACAAGATTGGAGATTCCCTCAGAGCTGAAGGAAATGAGGTTGGGTTTGGATATTGAAGGGTTTTAAACTCTTCTGTAAGAGGGAAGATAGAGGTGGCGGTTTCTTTTGGGAGAACTCACCAGTAAGATAAAATCCCTGGAAGAGTTGAAGGCAGCATTAAAGTTGGGCTGTTCCTTGTTTCCTTTCCTCAGCTTTCCTTATTTATTTTGTCTCTTCGTGACTGGGATCAGTATGTCAATAATAGATTCATTTCTGAAGTTGTGTTGCCTTATCTACTACAACTACTATTTGTGATCCACGTAAGCAAACACAATTAACTTGGACTGATTTTCTTTTATTTTGGAGCGCTCTAGCTCGGGAACATTAAGGAAAAATAATGAAAAATGAAATATTTGCAAAAAACTTTGTAAATAATAATAATAAAACAAAACAAAACACTCCTCTTTGGAGAGAGGTACCAGGCCACATCCCTGTGTGGATCCATCACAGGGCGGCTGCATATGAATTATAGCTACTGTTTGTTCCACTTGAACAACAAAACGAACAGAAATCTAGGATGTGAGCACCCATCTAATCTAAACTGGATTTGCTGTTATTTGGAACTGCAAAATGTAGACAGGAAAAGAAGTTCAAATTTGAGCTGAGAAAGAAAGCTCTTTAGCAATAGGTATTTTAGATTCCTCAGTTATTTGTTTGAAGGACTACACTGTTAAGTAAGGAGAGGCATTTCATCAAGTGAAATTGATCTGTGTTGCTATAGGGCATTCTTATTTTTATTTTTAAATTATATATACTGTTTCTGACTCTGCATCTTACCTGCAGAGTTCTCGGAAATCGTGAGTACCGTCCAAGTGATCTCATCTGCGGGGCAGCGGTCTGTTCAAAACAAAACCTCCTCCACCTGAGAGCTGAAGAAGAGGTGGATGCTTTTTAATTTGTGATGAAATAATAAAAGTCTGTTTTGAGACAGAAAACGTCCTATAGTTCATAATACGGCCCTTAAGTGGTAATTTGACCTATTGTATTAGAGCTAATACTGTGCCCAATAACAGAAGATATAGTGTTGCAGGAGATGCCATCTGCTGAATGAAACGTAAAACTGGGGTTCTGACCTCTGGTGCTAGTCTAAAAGGCTTGATGGCAGGAGTAGGTATGTTAACCCCAGTATGCTGGACAAATTCCAGACTCAATCACAGCATTCTTCCTAAATTTGATTTATAGCTTCATCTGGATGTAGTATTTTCTTTTGCTTGTTCTATTGGGGAGGTTTATTAAACAGTTGTTGCCTTTAAAATTGAGTGATCTTCTGTATGTGATTTTGCTTTTAAAGGCTTTTGGAGTTTTGCAGTCCAAGAGGTGCTAAATAATTTTTTTTTAATATGATTTTATGAAATGCTCTCCCCTGCCCCCAGCTCTCCTGGTACTTAATGAAACTTTCCAAAGAGTCATGATCAGAACTCGTATGAAGATGTGCATTGTGATAGAAACTAGTGGAAACTTGAGTTGCTGTTTTCCAAAATGTGCATGGTAAATGTGCAGAAGTAGCTAAAGACTTAACTATTCCTCTACCTGTCAGCAGAGAGGTATTGATTGATAATAAATTATATCTGAAATTTAGAAAATCATCTAAAAAAATCAGAAATCAGATACACATAGAAACAGTTTTAGGTACACATAGAAGCAGTTACATTGTAATACTACTTGATCTTTTTCCATTCAAGTGTATCAGTAACAACATAAATTTATTACAGAGGAGTGGATAATGTGATTGAGAACAGAGTATCCTATAGCCAGCATGCAGCCAAGAACCAGAGGACTATCCGTGCACAAAGCCTTGCACCTGTATGCAGTTTCTTGTGTTGTTGGGCCTGTAGGGTTGGTGTATTTATAGGTTTTCTGCAGTGTTTCAAGCCTGAATATATATAAAAAAAAAATAAAAAGTGTGTAAATGTCAGCTCTGCAGGCTAAAGTTAGGGTTTTGTAAATGTCACTTTTTTGTTTTCTTGGAACATTGTTAGTAGAAGTATTTAATATGTAAATACAAGCACTTAGTAGCATCTGTAAATTCTTTACTTATTTGCTAAGCTAAATTGATCAGAATTTAAGAATGCAGTGTTTAACGCTTAAGATTCTCCGTCCTTACTTTCTTCAATAGCTCTAAAGACTACTTTGTTAATACTTGATTATTTTCTTAATGCATGAATACTGTGTAGTATGGTTTAATTTACTTTGCATTCTTCCTTCAGAACAGAAGCAATGCTTTCTTCTTTTCTTTTGAGAAATTGGTAGGTTTTGTTTAAACATATTAAATTACTAAATGATTTGAAAATGAGTTCAAAATAGTTGGACAAAATAACAAATCTAACATGCAGTGATGGTGAAAAATGCATAATTGCTAAATTTTAATATTATGGATTTTGTGTAGATCGCGCTCAAGACCTCGTCAACGTTCTTATAGTCGAAGTAGTGAAAGATCCAGTCATAGGAGAACTCATAGTGGGTCTCGTGAAAGAGAGCGGCGTAAAGGCAGAGAGAAAGAAAAAGTAAAAGAGAAAGGCAAAGGAAAAGAGAAGGAGATATGTGGCGCGAAGCATGGGTAAGTGAAATGACAAATAATGCAGCTATAATAAAAACAGGCAATGATTTAGAATTTTACTTTTTTAAAAAAAGTTTTCTTTGTATAATGCATGCTATTTATGGAAACAAAATGCAAATTATTAAAAATCTTTGAATCACATGATTCTGAGCATTTTAAAATTCTGCCATGTGGCATCATTTGAACTAAATGATTAACAATTCATTTTTCTTCCTTGCCTTGCAAATATGCTAAGTAGCTTTTCTTCAGTAGATGAATGTAATTCAATTTCTGATGCATTATAACCACAGTTTAAGGAAAAGAAATGAAGAGTACTGAAGAAAAGCACGAAAATAATTTCCTATGAAAAACTGTTTTTCACTGTGTGTGGTGGTTTTCCCCCGGCCTTCTCTGTTGACAGAAGTTTGCTGGGCTTCATTTGTGGCTCAAAGTATTGTTTCGGTAGAAGTACTTGCCGTGCCTGAATGATGGACTGCCTTTCAAAACATACTGCCAGCCTAATTTTTGCTTGAAATAACTTAGATTGTTGATCTTCTTTTTTACAGCTTTCAGTGAAGGCAGTTTATGTAATTCCCTCTACTTTGTGCATCTTGATCTCTCGCAAACTTTAGCGTGATTGGTTTTACATCCCGATGGTATTGGTTACTTAGTCCCTCAAATATTGTTCCTGCTTGTCCTTGGTTCGGTAATTGATTATGTAAATATTCTGGATTAGCTGTTTACTTTTTTTATTTTCTTATTTGTAGTACGTAGACTGCTGGGAACTTCAAGGATGGTGTCAGCCACTCTTTTCAAGTGCTACTTTCCCAATTTCACTAACCCACAGTGTGATATTTACTATGAGGGCGGTGCGGCCCTGGCGCAGGTTGCCCTGAGGAGCTGGGACTGCCCCATCCCTGGCAGGGCCCAAGGCCAGGCTGGGGGGATTTGGGCAGCCTGGGCTGGGGGCAGAGGTCTCTGCCTGTGGCTGGGGGGTGTTGGGGGGGGGCTTTGAGGTCGCTTCCGACCCAAACCAGCCTGCGATTCTGTGATTCATTTGTTGTTGCTGCAGATGTGTTTGGCCCTCAGTAGGACTCACTGTAAATATCTTGGAGCCTCTGAAATATTGGTGGTGTGTCATAAACAAGATGCCTCTTGCCTGTTTACCTGAAGTTTGAATACGTTTTGGTACTTGTGGAAGAATGAGGAGAAGCCTGGATGTTGCGGCCCAAATTGTTTTTTTCCTGAAGTAGATTCTAGTGCTCTGAACAGGGCAAGAACCCCTACTGAGCACGACACATTTGGTGCGTGAGAGGTCTTCTGGACTTTGTATAGAAGCACATCTTAAATCACGTTGGAATATATTGCAGTGCTTTATTAGCATACTGCCTGACTTTATGTCCTTTTATAATAAGGATCAATATCAGCAAGCTGTAGGAAGAACTCAGAAGTGCCCAGAATTTTTTTGGAAGCAAGCAATTTACCCTTATATTTTGATAACTTACAAAATTGCTTATGCTAAATCCGAAAACCAAATGTCTTGTTTGGGTCATTTCCAAGGTAGTTAGGACAAAGAGTACAAACTGATAATAGAAGCATTTTATGACATCAGTCCATTTCCCTTCGAGCCCAGGTACTGACCAGTAGCCTTTGTGCAGGGTTTTCTTACTTGGAGCATCATTAGACTACAAAATGAAATATACCCAGGATGATGTTGATATAATTTATGCCTCATAAACTTTTCTGAGGGGGGGACAACGTGTTTTTCAGTTTAATCAAACGGTGATCAAAGTGTATCTGTACAGAGAGTATGGATCTGGGAAGCGTTTTTCCTTTGCAGTTATTTGTCATTCTGAAGATTTAGACTGCATCAGCATCAAGTTATTGTTCGTTAAAGGTTTCGCAAAGCAGCGCATTTAAATACAGAGCTCTTGGATTCAATTGCTATTTGCAGTTAATGCAGTTATTTGTCTAGGGAATACTCTGCTATGGACCAGTAAGAGTGAACTAGGAACTTAGAGTTTTCCTTCTTAAATGCACACGTGTATTTAGGAAGGGAGAGAGCTACTGCAGTTTCTTTTTGCTTTATGTGTTCTCCAAGAAAAAAAGAGGCCAAGTAAGATGCTTTATAATTGTCTTTTTGTAGGAGACTTCCTCAAGCCTCCCAAGCTCTCAGCTTTCTTTCTTGCTATCGTTTCTTGATGTATTTATTTTCTTTGTGGGTGAAAAATATGGGAAAGAAAAGACCTGAGTAGCCAAGAAAGCTCACTTGTCCTCCCTCATTTATAGATGTATAAGGAGGACGACACAACACAACCTCAGTGAACCTTTTGCCTTTGTAAATCTATGGGCTTCTGGCATTTTTTCTTCGTCTCCTGCAGCAGCAATGAGATTCAGTCATGCATTTGTTCTGTCTGGATGCTAATTCCTGAGGAAAGCACTGAGATACCGTCTTTTGTTTCCCAGTAGCTTTGAAGGCTTTTGTAGTTGGCTGTGGTCAGCTGAAGGTAGTAAGTTGGTTTTGCTGAATTTTGCTTTTGAGGGCATATGTTATAATTCCGGCTTTTTGTCTTCTGGTGGTGTCAGATGTCCTCCTGTGGGTATGGCTAGAATTATAACTCTTATTATAGCTTGTCTCCAGCGCTGAGCGTCATAGCAGATTCTGCGACTGATGCTGGTCCCCTTCAGCACGAGAGTTTGCTGCCCTGGCTGGAACTTCGCAGTTCACCCAGCTGGCTTCATGCTGGAAGAGACAAGCAAGCACTAGAAGGACCTGCTCTGTCGACTGTCCTCATCTGAGGGCCAGCGAGCAGGTGATAGGCGAGGACTCCTCCAGCATCTGCATTTGCTGAAAAAGCTGTGTGTTTTTTTCTTGTTTTAGGTTGGATCTAGTTTGGGCAGGAAAAAAACACACATTTTATTCTGCTGTAACTGACACATTAATGGTGCTTTTTTTTCAATTTACTGTTCAATTTTTTTTCTCTGAAGCATGGAGAAAAAAGCCTAAACACCAAACATGACTATCAGGTTGTCAAGTATATATTTGGATGTGAAGTACTGAGAAGAATCTATTGTAGGTCACACTCTCCAGGTGAATAAATTTATGTCTAGATCAACACTGAAAGTAAGACCATTCTGTAGAGCCTTTCTAGAAACTCCGACAGCTGGGGATCTGCCTTAGGGGACAAAATAGGCCTCTGACCCCCGTATTTGGAATAGATTCTTGCAGGTACTCCATGGAAAGACACATGAAGGGCCAGATCTGTTTTTCAAATTGCATTAACGTATGTTTGGAATGTATTTATTGGAAAATAGTTACTTGAAAGCTATAAAAAAGAGCATCCTACAGCCAAATCACGAGAAGACAATGTAAATTCTCCAGTGCTAGTTAATTTTATAGCTTCAGCTTTGCATAAACAAAGGTGTTTCACGATCAGTGTTACTTGCATTTTCTTGGCATAGCTGGGTTGCTCGATGGTATGTTTGTTCCTGCAGTGACTGAGACAGCTGTACTGGGAGAATTGGAGGTTAGGTTCAGTCTTTGAAAAGTCAGCCCTTATCACAGGGTATTTGACTCTTGGTTATTGCTTATTGAAAGTGAAGGAAAGGAAGAGGAGGATTGTATTATGAAGATTGCCATTGTACGGTTGGTATATGAGAGAATTCACTTTGACACCTCAGATCAAGGTGCTTGGGGGAGATACTTGGGAGACACAAATAATTTTTCTTACTTGCAGTCAAGAAGGAATTAAATCTTACTTGCAAGCCTGAAGGAGCTGAAGGAATTGGAACTTAATCAGAGCTCATCAGAATAACTGTATTCCTATATATTCCGATAGGCTGGTAAGTACAACTCTTGGTAGAACATAAGGAGTAGGAAATAAACCTAAAGAGCCGAGGCAAGTTTAGTTAGATTTAGAGTATTTCCTGCTGTACAGAATATTTTGAGGATAAATACACGTATCTTTTCCATTCTAAGCTTTTTCTTCCTTCTCCCAATCTTCAAAATGAGACCTGCATTTTAATTGTGCATGTTTGTTTGTTTTGTAAATCAAGGCAACTTTAGGTGCTTTCAGAGTAGATCTTATATTTTCAGGAAAAATCTTGAGAGGTTTCCAGAGTAAAAGAACTCTGCCATGGTAATCCAGTTGTCATCCTTTTGGCATTCCCTGTTTCAGTGAATATTCTTTAAGGCTGAGCACTGAACTTCTTGAATGTTGGATGAGTGTCAGCTATTTGGTGGAGACAGGCTGTATTACAGTCATAGCAAAACAGCTGAACCCTTTTGTTCTTACAATCTGAAATGTTTTAAGGGATATACTATTTGTTCAGCCATCATGGAGAGGGATTGTGGTAACAGCTGCTTTGAATTTAGGTTGGGAAGCTCATTTACAGCATCTGACAGTACTTGGTTTAAAAAAAAAAAACACAAACAGCAAGTAGAGCTGAGAGAGGTCTATCAAGCTTTGAAAGAGGTTTGTGCTCACTTAAAAGGTAAAGTGCAACTTTAACAATCATTCTAGCAGAAAACCCTGAAATATTCCTAAACAGAAAGAGATCCATCTTTCATATTATCGGGATTATTTCATTTCCAGTATAAACTATCTAAAATAAAGCTGAAGACGAGCAGGTAGCAAGAAATGTTCTTAAGCAGTTATCCACCTACTGCACTGCTGTTTATTTTCCTTCCATTTTACAACTAATCTCAACTAATCAGTTTGGTTTTGTCTTCTTAACTCATAGTAGTTGTTTGCATTGTGTTCCTTTATATATGTGTGTGTGTGTATATACATATACTTCTGTTGCAATGCATGGGAGAAAGAGCTTTATTGCCTGGAAGAATATATATATATACACTATATATATAAAAAAAATAAACAATACGACTTTTTTGGAAGAACTGCTGCCAGCGTTTCCAAAGTAAAAGCACTTGCTTGGCCATCGAGCTTTTTCTGTTCATCCAGTCTCATAGGCCAAGTTTCAAATCACATTTCTCTGTTTGCAATAACAATATGGCTCTC